GTGGACTGAATATCACTGGAAATTTATAAAAACCAAATTCCCAGCATGCATGTCTGTGTCTGTCCAGTTCAGCCCCCCACCATGTTTTGGCTCAGCTACAGCTATTTGTATTTCCTTCATTTACTTGAAGAAATTTTTGAGACAGTATAGTACAGTCTGTGGATTGACAATTCTTCATAACTCTATCACCTGCGTTGCTTTGAGAAACCTTATGATAAATACAAGAACATTGATTGATGACTCGTATAAATAGTCCTAACTTGGTGTTGAATTGTATTCTAAATCCTAAACAGAATGGGGAATGCCTCACCAACCCCCTCACCCACCTCCAGATCAGCAGTGGATGGCTCCAACCCCAGGTCAAATGGAAGTTGTTCCTCCATCTGAAGACAGCAACAGTCAGGACAGTGGGGAATTTGCTCCTGACAACAGGCATATATTTAACCAGAACAATCACAACTTTGGGGGACCTCCCGATAACTTTGCAATGGGGCCAGTGAACCAGTTTGACTATCAGGTGAAACATATTTGTTGCTTTAATATTGTAGACGCGCAGAGTCCCTTCCGTGGATGTGTTCCTCTAATTCATCTAGCGGCGACTTTCATTCTTCAGTTCTACAAACATCTACAGAATCTGTTATCTGCTAAGATACATTTTTACCAAACTTTACAGAAGAGACTTTAGAATTTTCAGTTGTGTTGTGAGGCGAAAGAGTTTTTTTCTATACTAGTAATGAGAAATGGTTGTTGTCTGCAATATTAAAATGAATCACTGTGTTCCAGTATATAAAATAACATTATGCAGTTTTGTGTTTAAAACAAAAAAAGGAGCAGGAAACAGAAGTTGAGAAATACATACTTAAATACACTAGATAATGAACAGTCCGGTATTTGCAGGGAGATAGACTGGATGATCCATTGATCCTTTCCATATCTATCTACTGTGATTCTTTGAATAAAAATGGTATTTCTAAAAAAAAATCCACATCCACTTTTTTCTTCATTCTGGCATGTAAGTTGCATAGCATAATAAATCTGTAGGTGGTTTTAGCACTAATAATAGCAGGGGGCATCGCGCAGATCTTTAAACACAAAGAAGTTTGGGATCTTCCCCCTCTTTTCAGTATTTTTCTTTCAAAACTCTTGACATAAATGACAAACTGTACCTGTTAAAACACCCACCTCCTGTTCATAAACAAACCAAAGGGCAGACGGGCAGAAATGTGTTTCTATCTTCTGGCCTACTTTTTCTCTATTATTAAATTCTCTTGTTCAGCAAAATTGTTAGGAAATGAACCAGTATTTTCAAATACACTAGCTTAGTATAATTTCCTTTGTTTACTATTGTGGGACCAACTCTTAAAATTAATTTCTCTAAGTACAGCAGAAAACTTGTTTTATAGTGAATAACAGAAGGATGCTTGGCCTGAAATTGTAGTGGAAGAGTGCTTCTACCACTAGTGACTTAAATAGATAGTCAATAGAATATAATAAAAAAATATTTGATGCCGTAACTTTCTTCCTAAACAGTGTCCTCTTAAATAGTTTTATTAGGCATTTCTGGGCAGAAAATATTAAAACTAAAAACCCCTCATGTATGCCTCAAGACTTGTAACTTTTCGATTGTATACAGCTTGCTCAGAACCCAGGGTCTGTACTAAACTTACATATTTATATATTTAATATTTTAGTCAGCTGTACTAATAACATCCGTGAATGATTACTGGAAAGCGCACAGTGCAAAATTCTTGTGTAATAAAAGCTTGAACTTTTCATTTTTGTCCTCATGTTGTAGTTACAAGGAAAGATGCTAATGTAGCTAGAGTTTTAAACCTTAATTTTGTATACTCTTCATTTAACTGCATGCTCTGATGATAAGCTGACAAGGAACTGCTGGAGATAGATGGTGATTATAGGGCTTAATGTTTAGCACAATATGAAAGGCGATTGGTTGAAGCCCTTTCAGCTTCGTTAGTATCCCTGCTTAAATCTAAGTTTACTCATTAAATATTTAAGGAAAACTTGTTTCTTGGGGACCGCAGAAAAGGAGATTGAGAGATCTCAGTAGCCTAGAAATCGTGGATTCCTACTTGCATGGATTTCTGTAGACCGACTTGCGCACATGCTGTATTTAGTGTTACATGTGAAGAAAAATAAACTGCATTACTCTTTCAGCATGGGGCTGCTTTTGGTCCACCTCAAGGTGGATTTCATCCACCTTATTGGCAGCCAGGACCACCAGGGCCGCCAGGTCCACCAGCACCTCCTGCACCTCCTCAAAATCGAAGGGAAAGACCCTCATTCAGAGACCGACAGCGTTCACCTATTGCGATGCCTGTGAAGCAGGAGCCTCCACAGATTGGTACATGTTAACCACTCCTTAATGAAAAAACGTAAAAGCTGTGTTTTGAAAAGAATTGCAAAATTTGAAGCCTTTTTTTTTTTTTTTTTTAATAAAGTAAAAAAGAAGGGAAAGAAAAAGCTATTGTAAATGGGTTTTTTCCCCACAATCAAATGTATGGCTTGTTTGTATTGGGGTGGAGGGTTTGCTTCTTTGTTCTTAGTTTGGTTTTGTGGTTTGTGTTTTGTTTTTTTTCTTGTTTGGGGGGAAGGGTTTTTTCATCTTACAAAACTGTAAACCTTGCTTACGTAGATGCTGTGAAGCGTAGAACTTTGCCTGCTTGGATTCGTGAGGGCCTGGAAAAGATGGAACGAGAAAAACAGAAAAAATTGGAAAAAGAAAGGATGGAACAGCAACGTTCACAGATGTCTAAAAAGGAAAAAAAGGAAAGTGAGGAGGCTGAAGAAGGAGATGGCCCACGGTTACCTCAGAAAAGTAAATTTGTAAGTAGAAGGGTTTGCTTTTTGCTCAGGTTTGTATTTCCGGAAAGGTATCAATTTTTTGGTCTCTTCAAAAGAGAGACTGTCTATTCCTGGTTATCTCTTTGTTTCTGTTGCTTAAAGTAAAGCTAAGCTGCTTTGTTGATATTTACTTGGTGTTTTGAAGTTGATAATGTCTGAGAGGTAAAAGTGTATTATTTGATCTGTAGTAGCAAAGAAACAACAATGAAATTTGGCTTTTTCTGTGTTTTGGGAACATAGGTGGTCTTTGAAGGTTTGAATTCTGAATCAGTAGCTGAACAAATACAGATACCTGTATTTGCTGAACTGAGCCCATTTAGGAAGCCTTGTGCTGCCTTCACTTTAGCAGTTACCTTATTTGTTTGCCGTTTTGAGTACCTGTCTGGCAGTGAAATGACAGCATTTTTTTTATTTACTCATCTCATGTGGGTAGAGAGGTACCTGCATGTTTATTAGGAGGGGAGAAAAGAAATAGAGGCTTATGATAACTGTAATACAGATTTCAGGATAAAGTAAATCACGTTGACTGTCATAAATAGAAACTAATGAGTTCTAAATGGAGGTTTTTCCTGAAATGTACGATGCTGTTGTTGTAGGACAGTGATGAGGAAGATGAAGATGCTGAAAACACAGAAGCTGTAAGCGTTGGGAAAATCAGCAGGAGTCCATCTCCCGCTCCTCAGGAGGAGCAAAGTGAACCAGAAATGACAGAAGAAGAAAAGGAGTATCAAATGGTATTAATAATGTAGTTCTCACTAAGTATTTCTGTCAGTTTGCTCATTTTTCAGGCATAAGAAAGTAAACCCACTCTTTCTCTGCTTGATACTGTCAATAGAGGGATAGTACATATCCTACAGTAAAGTAGGGTTATATTTGTATGTCTCTCTGTAATGCTGTCTTTCTCACATAGAGAAGGATATAGGTTATATAACTCATATTTAGCACAATAGTGAAAGAATATAATGACTGTAATCTCTACATTGATCGTTATTAATTCTATGGTTTGGCTTAACTTGTCACATTCCTGAAAGCTTTTAATGATTAAATGCACCCGTCTGAAATCTATCCTTCCACCTCTCTTCCTGAAAGGGAATTTAAGAAACGTATTCTTGCAAGGAAGTGCTAGAAACCTAAGTCCTAGACCAGCAACAATTTCACTGTGTCTGCAGAAACTTCGTACTTTGAAATCGTAGTTGTATGCTAATGGTACAACTGCAGCCTTGTGAATGAAGGCCCTGAATTCTGAAAAGTTTGATGAATGTATTTTTTGCACAGCACATGGCCAGACTGAGCAGCTTAGAGAACTAGCTACCAACATTGCAATTTTTATAGTAAATATGTAATAATAGAATGCTACGTAAGTAACTTCTGATGATTTTTGCAGGATTGGGGTCAGTGAGACAGCATACCAGACAGAAATGACCTTTTCATTTTTTTGAAAGAATTAAATGGGATCAGTCGTATCTAAGTACATTTCTGATTTACATACTCATTTGTTGTTTCATCTTTGACATTAGGAATCAGTGCCCTGGATAGCTGTGTGTAATACACATGGATACAGTTCACAGTCAAAATACAAACTGTTCTGAAAGTTTTGAAATTGGGTCAAATTTAAACAGTTTCAGACTTAGGGTTTTAAATCATGTCTGTTGAAGTCATTAAATAAATAGGGCAGGAGAGTACTTTCATAGCTACCAAAAGAAGTGAAGCTCTATGGATATAATTTGAGTGCACATTTATTCAAGAGGTTTTGGCCTTTAATTGCATATACAATCTTCTTCAGATGATGCTGACAAAAATGCTGCTGACAGAGATTCTCTTAGATGTCACAAATGAAGAAATTTATTACGTGGCCAAAGATGTTCACCGTAAAGCAACTAAAGGTATGCCGTTTTTTGGGGATTTTTTTATTTTGTTAGTTTCTTCTGTGAATATTCTATATTTGCATGTCTCTAGAACATTTAACCTCCATAGTTATCCCCCAAGAACAATTCCAGTATAATGCATCCAACTTGGTAGAGATCAAATCCAGTAATCATGTACTGTTGTCCTGTGCAGTGTATTGTGAGTTACTTCAGTTACCCATTTCTTTCATACAGTTCATTTTAGTTAAAATGGTACCTGTGTGTCAATGGCTCTTGAGTTGAGGCTGTTTCTTAATGCTATCATCTTTATCTCAAGTTCTTAGCTGTTCAGAAGTGAAAAGAGACGAGCTTTTGAGTCCTCAATTAGTAATTCATTTGCTTTCACTATTAACATGTATTGTACTTACATAATAGCTTTTTTTAACATAACTGAGTTAATCTAAATATGTAACTACTGAAACTTATGTGCGGATGCTGTAACTTGGAAAGTGATTCATGAGTATATATTTTTTTTTTCTGTTCACTGTTAATTTGCAGTTAAATTCTAAATCTTCGTGGTCAGAAAATCTAGAAGTGGTTTTAAATGGATGATGCGTTTTTAATGTTTCTTCTCTCCCTCCAAAGAACAGCAATAGTAGTAGATTTAACAATACCATAGACTCATGACTATGAAATCGTGGCTATTTGTGTTAACATGTTGTTCCTGTTGTTGATGTGATACAAAGCTCCTGCAAAACAGCTGGCACAGTCCAGTGCACTGGCTTCCCTCACTGGACTCGGTAAGTATGTTCCTTATTTTTGAGAGGGCTTAAAGGGGGAGTTTCACTCTTGCCTTGCATTTCTAGAAATTGCATTTTGAAACTAGATTTTAATTGTCCAGGCGTATGGGTCACTTTCCGATAACTTTATCATTATCAGCACCTTTGTTTGTTCCACAGGTGATTCTGCTGATATAAGTGGGATGGTTTTTGAAGTAAAGGACTAGTCAGTGTGAGTTAGTGTATGGGAATCTTGCCCTAATTTTGAAATACCTAAAAACTTTAGATAAATTTGCTTTCCAAAGTATGATTGTTTCAGAAGCGCGCTGCAGTCTTCAGAAGGAGGAATACTGTTTTATATTTTTCTCCTATTTTGATCCATCCAAACAAGAAGGGGAAGTTGATAGAAGAGTAATGTGGAAGTCTATAAATAAAAACATTATAATGTTTGGAATTATTATTTTATTGAAAAGCTACTTAAGCACAGAGGCTCCCATATCATACCAGAAACAACACAGGAAAAAGAGATAGAAATTCCAGCTTGAGACACGACAGCAAAAGATCTTTCCCAACATGCTTTTTATCATCTAAAACATACTACAGCAGTGTCAGTGATCAGTTATGTGTTCGTTACGTGGAATGC